AAAAAAAAAAAAAAAAAAAAAATCAGTGAGAATATGTAGATATTGAAACTTTATCTACTGCTGATAGAAATGTAAATTGATGCATACACATATGAAAACAGTCTGACAGTTCCTCACAAAGTTAAACATACATTTACTAATTGACCTAGCAATTCTGCTCCTACATATATACCCAAGATAAAAGAAAATAGGCCAGGTGCGTGGCTCACGCCTGCAATCCCAGCAATTTGGGAGGCCGAGGTGGGCAGATCGCAAGGTCAGGAGTTTTGAAACCAGCCTGACATACATGGTGAAACCCTATCTCTACTAAAAACACAAAAATTAGCTGGGCATGGTGGTATACACCTGTAATCCCAGTCACTTGGGAGGCTAAGGCAGGAGAATTGCTTGAACCCAAAAGGCGGAGGTTGCAGTGAGCTGAGACCATGCCACTGCACTCCAGCCTGGGCAACAGAGCGAGACTCAGTCTTAAAAGAAAAAAAAAAAAAAAGATGTCCATGCAAAAACTCGTACACGAATATTCATAGCAGCATTATACGTAACAGTAAAAGGGAAGAAACAACCTAGGTATTCATCTAGCTTTTCACATTTATTGGCATAAAGCTATTTACAGTATTGGTATTCTCTTTAAATTAAATAACTATATCTCCTTTTTGTGCACACTCTTAACAATCCAGGAATAATGACATCCTTAAACTGACATGCAGAATAGACCAAAGAAATCTACAACAGACCTGACACTAAATGGTAAAGACATAAAAAGCTTTGCAATTAAAAATGGAACAATCATACAGTGTAATCCTAGACAATACAATTAGACAAGAAAAAAATATGCAGAAAACTGTTAGACAAGAAATATGCAAAGCAAATATACTCAAGAATGATATGAAAAATCACCTAAAAAATTAAACAGAATGAACCAAAAAACAGAATATGATGGGACATTAGGGAGATTGAATATATATTCAATAGCTTTCCAACACAATAGCAACAACCAATCAGAAAATGAATTAATACAATAGCAACAAAAATATAAAGTACTCAGAAATAAAGGTAATAAAAAATGTACAAGACCTTAGTGGAGGAATAGAAAACTCTGCCAAAAGACATAGCAGATACACATTTTCTATGAGAAAACACACTTCTTCAAAGTCAACAAAATCTCAGCTAACCACAATGTAACTTTTCTTAGAGCTTGATAAGTATATTCTAAAATCCAAATGAATAAAATAAGAAAACTTTTTCTATGTAGAAAGTTTTGTTCTACCAGACAATAAGGCTTAATATAAAGCTGTAGTACCTAAAACAGCATATATTACTGAAGAAACATGCAAACCATAGGTAAAAGTACAGAATCCTGACACAGGCTTATACATATATATGTTTTGGTTTTTTGTTTCTATGGAGATGGAGTCTTGCTCTGTTACCCAGGCTGTGCAGTGGTGTGATCTTCACCCACTGCAACCTCCACCTCCTGGGTTCAAGTGATTCTCCAGCCTCAGCCTCCTAAGTAGCTGGGATTACAGGCATGCATCACCATACCCAGAAAATTTTATGTTTGATGTATGACAGAGATTGTATCACCACAGTGTTACCTAAAAACAAAACAAAACAAAAAAAACGGGGTTCATTCACCTGGTGAGTAATGACTGTGAGAACGCAAGTTTTGATCAATAGGAGTTTTATTACTTGGTGTAAGGAGAACACTGGCAGTATTTTTCAAAGCAGTATCTCTGCAAGAAAAAGTAATAGGAGAGCTTTATGGGTCAATGGAGAGGGGAGAGGCTACATCATCACATGTATGAGGGGTTCCACAGGTGCAGACGCATAAGTCATTATGCCAGTACATAGGTCACGTGTTATGTAGCTACTCCCCAGGTGGAGACTTTAGCATGGTAATGAGAAAAGTTCACTCAGGTTCATCTATAAGTTGCTGGGGTCTGTCAGGAGCTGGGTTTTGTTTTTGTTTTTGTTTGAGATGCCTCCCAAACTGCTGGGATTACAGGCGTGAGCCACGATGCCTAGCCAGGAGGTAGTTTTAACTAACTAGGTGACTGCAATCCACACAGGGTTTAGGAAGAAATAGGCTGCAGGGCAGGAAGCTGTAAAACAGGCTGATTGCTCATGTAGATTAAATTCCTACAATCCCTGGAGGCCCAGTCTACTTATAGCAGCACGATCTTCTTTTAAAGAGCCCCAGAACCTGTAAAATTAACCTGTGCCAGCAACTGTGCTTCCTTACAGAGACAAAGGCCAGATATCAGTAATCACAAATAAGAGAACTTAGCTCAGCAGTACTACCCAGGCCTGAGTCCTTGCTTCATTACCATATTAAAATCTCCTCCTAGGCCAGGCTCACACCTGTAATCCCGGCACTCTGGGAGGCCTGGGATTACAGGCCTGAGGTCAGGAGTTCAAGACCAGCCTGGCCAACATGGTGAAACCCCATCTCTACTGAAAATATAAAAATCAGCCAGGCATGGTAGCACGCACCTGTAGTCCCAGATACTTGGGAGGCTGACGCAGAAGAATTGCTTGAACCCTGGAGGCAGAGGTTGCAGTGAGCCAAGATTGCGTCACTGCACTCCAGCATGGGCGACA